TGGAACTCAGATGAGAATCTATCTGCTTTTGGGCTTTTCTTGGTTGATAGGCTTTGGATGGCATCTTCTATTTCCTTGCCTAAAATTGATCTATTTAAAGGCTGAGGTTCAGTGGTACAGTGCTCACCTGCACGTGTGAGGCACTGGGTTTGATGCTTAGCATCACATAAGTAAATAAATAAAATAAAGGCATTGTGTCCATCTACAAAAAAATCTTAAAAATTGATATATTTTAATTGTATATGTCCACCTGATTCAGTTATGTTTGTAGAAATCATGGTTTGTAGAAATTTGTTGATGCTTGAATCAAATTTATGAAATATGATATGTCAAGAGCTTTGTAATGTTTTGAACAACTAATAATAAAAAAAATAAAAAAACAAAAAAAGTTTTTCTCTTTTATTTGAAACTAAAATATATATAAATATATAAAACATTGAATTATATTACATTGAATGATTACCAAATATTAAGCCATGTTGTGTATCTGGAATAAGTCTCACTTGATCAGGAGAGAGAGCTCTATAATTTCCATTTTGCTATTGCCTCTTTAATATCAAGGTAATAGTGCTCTCATGAGTTTGGAAATACCCTGGGTGTGCTGGGGAGCTCCCCCTGACACCCAGGTTAGAGACGCCACTTCCCTGGAGGGGGGAGTGCCCCTCTGCCCTGGGTGCACTGGGGAGCTCCCCCCAACACCCAGGTTAGAGGGGCCTCCCCCCTGGAGAAGGGAGTACCCCTCTTCGCTGGGTGTGCTGGGGAGCTCCCCCCATCACTCAGGTTAGAGGGGCCTCCCCCCTGGAGGGGGCAGTGCCCCTCTGCACTGGATGCCCTGGGGAGCTCCCCCGACACCCAGGTTGGAGGGGCCTCACCCCTGGAAGAGGGAGTGTCATCTATCCTGGGTGCGGAGAGGGGATCTCCCCCACACACACACACATTCAGGTTAGAGGGCCCTTGCCCCTGGAGGGGGGAGTGCCCTCTCCCCTGGGTGCGGAGGGATGAGATCCCCCCAAAACCAAGGTTAGAGGGGCCTCCCCCCTGGAGGGGGGAGAGCCCTGTACCCTGGGTGCAGAGGGGGGTTAGCTCCCCCCCCAACACCCAGGTTAGAGGGGCCTTCCCCTTGGAGTCAGGACAGCCCTCTCCAGTGGGTGCAGAGGGGGAGCTCCCACTCACACACCCAGGTTAGTGGGGCATCCCCTCCGGAGGCGGGAATGCCCTCTACTTGGGTGTGGAGGTGAAGCTCCCACCCCCAGGACACCCAGGTCAGAGGGGCCTCCCTCCCGGAAGGGGAAGTGCCCTCTACCCTAGGTGCTGGGTGGGTGGCGGGAGCTACCATCAACCTGGACACCCAGCTTGGAGGGGCCTCCCCCACAGGGGGGAGTGCCCTCTCCCCTGGGTGTGGAGGTGGGGATCTCCCCCCAACACCCAGGTTAGAGGGGCCTCGAATCTGGAAGGGGGCGTGCCCTCTCCACTGGGTGTGGAGGGGGGGAGCTCACCCCCCATACCCAGGTTAGAGGAGCCTACCCCCTGGAGGGGGGAGAGCCCTCTCCCCTGGGTGCAGAGGGGGAAAGCTCACCCCCACACACCCAGGTTAGAGGGGCCTCACCCCTTGAGTCCGGAGAGCCCTCTCCCCTGGGTGTGGGGGGAGCTCCCCCCCCAAACCGAGGTTAGAGGGGCCTCCGCCCAGGAGGGAATGACCTCTCTCCTGGGTGCTGAGGTGGAGCTCCCACTCCCCTCACACCCAGGTCCGAGGGGCCCTCCCCCCCTAGAGGGGAGTGCCCTCTCCCCTAGGTGCACAGTGGGGGCAGGAGCTCCCCCCCACCCCTACACCCAGGTTGGTGAAGCCTCCCCCGCGGAGGAGGTAGTGCCCTCTCCCCTGGGTGCAGGGTGGGGGGGGAGCTCACCCCCCAACTCTGACACCCAGGTTCCAGGGGCCTCCCCCCAGAGGGTAAAGGTTAGGGTTAGAGTGGGGAGTGCCCCTCTGCTCTCGGTGCACTGGGGAACTCCCCCGGCACCCAGGTTAGAGGGTCCTCTCCACTGGAGGTGGGTGTGCCCCTCACCCTTTGGTATGCTGGAGAGCTCTTCCTGACACCCAGGTTAGAGAGGCCGCATCCTTGGAGGGGGCAGTGCTCTCCATGCTGGGTGCGCTGGGGAGCTCCCCTGGACACCCAGGTTAGAGGGGCCTTGCCCCTGGAGGGGGGAGTGCCCTCTATCCTGGGTGCAGAGGGGGGATCTCTCCCCCACACCCAGGTTAGATGGGCCTTGCCCCTGGAGGGGAGAGTGCCCTCTCCCCTGGATGTGGAGGTGGGGATCTCCCCCCCAAACACCCAGGTTAGAGGGGCCTCGAATCTGGAGGGGGGAGTGCCCTCTCCCCTGGGTGCGGAGGGGTGGATCTCCCTCCCCCACGCCCAGGTTAGAGGGGCCTAGCCTCTGGAGGGTGGAATGCCCTCTCCCCTGGGTGCGGAGGGGGGAAATCCCCCCCACACACCCAGGTTAGAGGGGCCTCCCCCCCTGGAGTCCAGAGAGCCCTCTTCCCAGGGTGTGGAGGGGGAGCCCCTCCACACACACCCAGGTTAGTGGGGCATCCCCCTGAGGGGGGAATGCCCTCTCCCCTAGGTGCGGAGATGGAGCTCCCACCCACCCACACACCCAGGTCAGAGGGGCCTCCCCCCTAGAGGGGGGAGTGCCCTCTCCCCTAGGTGCGGGATGGGAGGGTGGGAGCTCCCCCCCCACCCTGACACCTAGGTTCCAGGGCGCCGCGGAGGAATTAGGTCCTGGAAGGCAGTCAACCACGACGGGCTGTCCTCTCAGGTACTGCGCTGTCCCTGGGCCTGAGGATGGCAGGCTGGGCGTGGCAGCAGGGAGTTTCAAGGGAGCCATAGTAGCCACAGCACAAAAGAGCCTGCAGGGCGCTGGGAGCCATCCTGGCCCCTGTTTCTCTGCTCCCGCGGGAGGGAAGGGAAGGCGCTGGGTTGTTGCTGGTCCGAGCCTCCAATGCCCACTGGGCTTTCCTGTTCCTCCTGCAGGCAGTGCTGCAGGCTGAGGCTCCTTGCTGGGAAGCTGCGCCCTTCATGCTTGGTATCCAGAATCTTGGCAACTCAGGCCGGGCCTGTGGGACGGGCCCTGAGCTGAGAGGGAGGCCCCTCCTCAGCCTTGTTCTGAAGTCCTGAGACAGACACTGGGGCAGATCTCCAGCTCCTCCCAACAGTTGGAGGTGGCCCCGGAGGAAACATCTAAAGGTGAGGCTTTTGGCCCTATGTGGGCTGCAGAGTCCATGGATGTGAGGAATCCACTCTGCTGGACAGACACAGGTTCCAGAGGGCAGGAAACTTTTCTTCCCCCTTTAGTTTCTAAAGATGTGTTTGTTGAAATATCGTTGACGTATAATAGACCTCACATATTTAGGAGTGTGCAGTTTGGTAAATTTGATATATGTATATACCCAGATTTATTTTGCCACAATCATAGTGAACCCCTCTCTTATTATTCCAAACATTTCTCCAGACCTTTCCTAATGCCTTGCTAACCCCCCACTCCCCTGCCACCCACCCCAAAGCAACAACTGGTCCCTTCTCTGTTGCCATACATTATTTTGTATTTTCTAGTGCTTTACCTAAATAAAAGCCTACAGCATGCAGACATTGTGTGTAACTTCTGTAACTTCACATGATAATTATGATATTTTTCCAAGTTGGCCAGCACCACACTCCACATGGTGTGTGGGGTGGAGCTCTGCTGATAGCTGTGTTTCGAGGAGGGGCCACAATCTTCTGTCCCAAGGTAGTGAGAACCTGTGTGGCCCCCCTCCACCATCATTTGCACCTGTGAGTTCCCAGGTGGTTTTCAGAGCCCTGATAGCCTCATTCTAGGTGGCAGGTGTTTTAATAAGGGGCCCTGCATTGCAGTCCCCCTAGTCCAAAGCTACATCATGGTTTTGTAGCTGGAAGAACTCAGGATCAACCTGAGTGGAATCCACTGCTTTGCCTGAACTGCTTCTAAATTTCAGAGCTCTTAGGGTTTTCCTGTTCCCTGAGCTTGGAATCATCAGCACAATCACATGAGAAGTGTAGCTCCTGGGGGATGAATCTGAAGACCCCAGGGTAATAGCCGCTCTGCTTGGGGAGGCCTCCTTCCCTTACCAGACACTCCTTACTGCTGCTGATGTACCCACCTTCTTTCCCTCTGAGGTTTTGGGAGATCCTGTTCCTGAGAGGGCTTCTTACTTGCCTGGTGTCATCATGCTCTTTGGAAACCAATTCAGGGTCTTTCCACCTTTCCCTGACTGATCTGTGGCTCTGCCCAGGGATGCTGGGGAGCTCCCCTGACACCTAGGTAATGGGGCCTCGCCCCTGGAGAGGGGAATGCCCTCTCCACTGGATGCAGGGTGGGGGTGGAAGCTGCCCCCTACCCGGAAACCCAGGTCCAAGGGGCCTCCCCTGGAGGGGGGAGTGCCCTCTCCCCTTGGTGCGAGGGTAGGGGTGAGCTCTTCTTCCCCCCACACATCCAGGTTTGAGGGGCCTCCCCCCACAGGGAGAAGTGCCCTCTCCCCTGGGTGCGGGGGGTGGTGGAGCTCGCCCCCCCACCAAAACCCAGGTCCGAGGGGCCTCCACTATGGAGAGGTGAGTGCCCTCTACGATGGGTGCACCAGGGAGCTCCCCCCGACACCCATGTAAGAGGGGCCTCCTCTCTGGATGGGGTAGTGTCCCTCTGCCCTGGGTGCGGTAGGGAGCTCGCACAGACACCCAGGTTAGAGGGCCCTCCCCCCTGGAGGCAGGAGCCCCTCTGCCGTGTGTGCTGGGGAGCTCCCCCCCTACACCCAGGTTAGAGGGGACTCCCCCCTGGAGAGGGGAGTGTCCCTCTGCCCTGGGTGCGCTGGGGAGCTCCTCTGACACCCAGGTTAGAGGGGCCTCCACTCTGGAGGGGGGAGTGGCCCTCTTCCCTGGGTGTGCTGGGGAGCTCCTCAGGACACCCAGGTTAGAGGGGCCTCCCTACCAACCTAGAGTCCCTTTCACACTTGCAGTCTCCATTGGACCCCAGCAGGATGCTTGCAGAAGTCCGGTGAGCCCCATCCTAGCCCCGTGTGGAGCCAGGCCCTAAGCCCCCTCCCCCACCCTAAGCCCCCAACTGCCCAGGCCAACACTGCCCTCTGCCTGCAGTGTGGAAAGGTGCACCTTCATGGACTCCAAGATGAAACCCCTGTGGATCATGTACAGCAGTAAGGAGGCAGGCAGTGCTGACAGTGTTGGCATCATCTTTAAGATTGAGGATGGTGAGCCATGCTGGGCACGGACATGCTGAGGCCTTGGCCTTCTCACCTAGGCCCATACTGCTCTATTGTAGAGCCCCAGGGAGTTCCCTGAGAAGACAGAGCTCAGATACTCTGAGCCTTGCATGGGTGTATAACCCAATAGAAACTCCTGCCCTTCCAGATCTCCACCAGGACATGCTGACTCTGCAGATGATCCAGCTCATGGACGCCCTGTGGAAGCAGGAGGGCCTGGACCTAAGGTGGGGCCTCTGTCCATCACCTGTTTGTTTGGATCTGTAACAGGCCTCAGAGCCTGAGCCTCTGGAGGAGTTCCTGGTCTAAACTGACACCTCCATGTTGGCTGTGAGAGGGGCTCTTCTTAAAAGAGGGGTAGGGCAGCTGGAGGGGTTTGGATAAGGCCATTCCTGGTGCTTAGCTCCTATTTCCTGGCTTCCTATCCCTTGGGGAGCTGTGCCACCTTCTTCCAAGCCCGCTGACTCATTCTCTTCAGAGCAAACATGAGCCCTGCCAAGGTGTGCTCTGCAACTTGGGTGCCAGTTGTGTGTCTCTGAGGCACCTTCCCCAGGGCACCACACCCCCTCTCGCATCCTCAGGAACTTGAGCAGTGTCCCCTCTGGTTTTGTTGGGCGCCTCAATTTCTTGGGGGTTCCAGTAGCCCCAGAGAATGTCCTTAACCACAGTGTCTGCCTGTGCCTCCTCTCATGTGCTAGGATGACCCCCTATGGCTGCCTTCCCACTGGTGACTGCATGGGCCTCATTGAGGTGGTGCAGCACTCGGACACCATTGCCAACATCCAGCTGAACCAGAGCAACCTGGCTGCCATAGCTGCCTTCAACAAGGATGCCCTGCTCAACTGGCTCAAGTCCAAGAACCCTGGGTAGGCTTTCTTATTCCTGGGAGAGGCTTGATAGAGTGAAAGGTGAGGGAAGGCCTGTGACAGTTTCCATGGCTGCTTGGCTCAGCTGAGCACTGGCCCACATCTGATTTGGGGCAGGACAGAGAAGGTCACTGTTCCGTGTGTCCATTTTTCATGACTGTGTTATGCTACTCAACTCTTTGGGCGTTAAAACCACCACCGTGTTTAGTCACAAATATGTAGCTTGAGTGGGTTCTGCTGAGTGTTTCTGCTGTGGTTTGAAATAGCTGGTGCTATGGCTAGCATCTGTGATATTGCCTGAGCCCAGAGCATCTACCAAGGGCTCAGTCACACACCTAGGGACTTGGCTGTCAGTTGTGCCTCTTTATGCAGCCTCTCTTCATCTAACACATAGACCTTGGCTTCTCTGCATGGTATTGTGTGGAAGAAGCGGGCAATTTCAAGGTGGGCATGGTGACCTATGCTCCAGAATAATGCCCTCCTTGTTGATTAACACATGGCCAGATTCAAGAGGAGGGAAAATATAAGGAGCCCTGGTTTTCAATCTTCCCCACCCAGAGAAGCCCTGGATCGAGCCATTGAAGACTTCACCCTCTCTTGTGCAGGCTACTGTGTGGCCACATATGTGCTGGGCATCGGTGACCGGCACAGTGACAACATCATGATCCGTGAGAATGGGCAGGTAAGGGGCACTGTGTTCAGCTGCCCAGTGAGCTTGTCCTACATGCCTGGCCCAGGGGCCTCTCTGCCCTGCCCACAGCTCCCAGAAGAGTGCCCCAAGTCCTGCTGACTTCCTCTAAACAGAATCTCTCTTTGTGAAGCCTGTTCAGTAGCTGCCCTTCATTCCCCTCAGCTATTTCATATTGACTTTGGCCACTTTCTGGGGAATTTCAAGACCAAGTTTGGAATCAACCGTGAGCGAGTCCCATTCATCCTCACCCATGACTTTGTCCACGTGATTCAGCAGGGCAAGACTAGTAATAATGAGAAGTTTGAAAGGTGAGGTTGCCCAGGGCCCCGGTGAGGGGACAGTGTCCAGCCAGGGGCAGGGATGGGGACATAGCCCTCAGACTAACTCCTGCCTCCATCCTGGGGGTGCTGCCTTCTCTGCAGGTGCACCCCAATCCCAGAGTACCCTGTTGGGCAGTGCAAACAGGAGGTCCATGGGAGGTGTAGGAGGCAGGCCCAGGCAGGGGCATTGGTTAGAGGATCTGGGTACACCCATAACCCAACCAGGGGCTGACACTCAGGAGCAGGTGCTGGCTGCATGCAGAACCCTTGCTTGTTTGGGGCTGGGGTGGCAGGGAGGACCCAGGGCTTTATCTATGTCCTCCACCTCTGCAGGTTTTGAGGCTACTGTGAACAGGCCTACTGCATTCTGCGGCGCCATGGGCTCCTCTTCCTCCAACTCTTTGGTCTGATGCGGGCAGCAGGCCTGCCTGAGCTCAGCTCCTCCAAAGACATCCAGTACTTGAAGGTATGCCAGCACAGGGCCACACCAGACTGGAGGACAGGGTCCACCACAAACTTCCCAAGGCCTGCCTGAACCTCTACAGCTGTGGAGGAGCCTGCCTCCCCTATGTATAGTATAAAAAATGAGCTTGGCAGAGCTCATCTTGGTCAGAGTGCATCTTGCCTGAACAGCTCAGGGACCTAGGAGATTCACCTCACAGATGGGGGCCCTCATGCCGTCCCAGGCCCAGCAGTGCAGTATGGTGGGAAGTGGCCAGAATGGTGTGCTCCCTGGGCCTAGTCCTGCCCAGTTGAAGGTGAACTGTGATCTTGTTTGGTCATCCCATGTGTCCTCAGTGTCTTTAATGCATGAGATATAGTGTCTTGTAGGTTTGCAAGACACTTTCCATTCCTGTCTTTTCAGTTGGTGAGAGGCAGAGTGGGAGGGGGTGCATTCCCTAAATCTTCTCCTGCCCTTCTCTCAGCTAAGGTGAGGCCACCTGACCATCTGCTTGCAGTTCTTTTAGGAAGGAATGTCAACAACCTGAGGGGGCAGGAGTACAGGGAGGCAGAAGGGATTGCAGATGCAGCAGGGTCAGGACCCCTGAATGTTGACGCAGTTGTGATGATTCTGTCCCAGGACACTCTGGCACTGGGGAAGACGGAGGAGGAGGGGCTGAAGCACTTCCAGCTTAAGTTCAATGAAGCCCTGAGGGAGAGCTGGAAGACCAAAGTGAACTGGCTGGCCCACAACCTGACCAAAGACAACCGGCAATAGTGGCCACCTCTGAGCCACCACAGGCTGGCAAACCTGTTCTGAGGACAGCTACCCTTGGTTGTCCTAGATGGGGCCTCACACCTGAACTGCACCTCATGGTAAAGAACAACACAATTGCCTTTTGTTTACACTAGTTATTTAGACAGACAGGAAATGTTTAAAGATGATGGGGGAACGTGATGGACATTATTATCCAAAGTAGATGTACAAAGACACAAATTGGTGTAAATATATTTTGTATACAACAAGAGATATGAAAAATTGTGCTCTATTTGTGTAATAAGAATTGTAATATATTCTGCTGTCATATAAAAAAAAAAAACTATAATAAAGAACCAAACAGCCAGGGATGGGGTTGTAAGCTCAGTAGTAGAGTGCTTGCCTCGCACGTGTGAGGCGCTGGTTTCAATCTTCAGCACCACATAAAAATAGATTAAAAATAAAGGTATTTGTCCATCTACAAGTGAAAAATAACAAAAGAACAAAACACCATAAATGCAAATGCACCCTGGTGCAGAGGAGGGGTGCTGCACTGTGTCCAAGCACTGTGAGTTGGGCACCTTGAGGTTGTACCTTGCTCTTGTCTTAGGATGGGCATTCCAGGTCTTCCAGTTGGTGGATCTTGCCCAGCAAAGACTGACCTCCTCTTGGGGAAGCCTTGTTTCCCAGGCTCCCCACCTAGCAGTTACTTGGCCTACTGTCCACTTAGGACACCTCAATTCCCAGATCACCTTCTGCCACCTGTGTGGCCCGCACTTCATGTTCTCCATTGACCAAGTCCTGGGCAGCTCCCAGAGAAGCCAGGGTACCCTCTAGACACAGGGATGCTTTCTCTTCACTGCTAAAGTGACTCTGAGGTAGAGGATGCCCTCTCCTTTTTCACCTTCAGGTAAGAAAATAATACCACTCTATTTACTGAACCTCTACAGCTGCAGAGGAGCCTGTCTCCCCTATGTATAGTATAAAAAATGAGCTTGGCAGAGCTCCTCCTGGTCAGGGTGAAAGGTCAGAGGGGGTCTGTGTGGTGATGTGTGAATAGGCTGCCTGCTCTGGCAGGTTTAAGGGAGGGATGGGGCTTGATGTCCCCCCAGGGCTCACCTTTGAGGAACCATCTGGGAATAATCTTGGGCCATGTGAGGCTGGGTCTTTCTCTCTGAGGGCACTTACTCTGAGATAGTCCAAGCTTAGCCTCAGTAATCCCAAAGGACTAGACAAGAGAAACGGTCCCTACTGCAGGTTCCTGTGCCTCTTTCAGCTTTCTGAAGCCCGAAGTAGTGAAGCATCCAGGACTTGGGCTTTTAGAATCCCACAGTGGGCTGGGGCCAGAGCCCAGTCTTAGACCATGTGCTGAGTAGGCATGAGGCCCTGGGTTTGATCTCTAGCAGTGTAAACAAAAAATATGAAGAAGCCCCTGGTAATCCTGATGCACAGTTAGCTCACTCAGGACCTTCTGGGCTAACTGATGATCTCTCAGGTGACTCCCAAGACTTGGCAGAGCCAGCAGACTCTGGCCCTTAGCAGCAGAGGTGCACAGCTTAAAAGGTATTCCAGATGCCAGCTCTCTGCATTTTCAATAGCTGTTGTGTCACCAGATCACCTGTCTCATCTGCGGTAGCCAGAGATGACACTTTTGTTCCCAAATAAATGCTGAATTTAATCAGGCCACCTGCCTCCTTTATAATAGGAAAAACCACACACATGTCTATGTATTACGCTTCAAGGCATGGGCTATAGACCTTGCACAACCTCAGCGATTTCTGGGTGTATGGTCTGTTGCCCAGAGAGAACAGCTTCTATTTGTTTTCAATCATTTCATGTTGCAAGTTAAATATCACTGATGTGGGTTGAGTCTGCAGTCTTTTGTCACAAGGCAGAAAGGCAAGTGGAAATAAATTAAAGCCTTTCTATGGTCTTATGTTCTTGGCTCAAAAGTGAATCAAGGGAAAACAAAGTTTAAAGAAGGCAGTAAACAGGCATCACTCCAGCTGGAGTTAGAACCAGAACTTTACTCTAGTGTACACACTTTCCCACCTAGCATCAATACATGCATTTGGGCAGGAACACCAAGGCACTACAAACCATATGAGGACATCCCTCTCTGTTAGCTTCTACCACTGTCTAGAAGGCATCTACACAGACTGCATGTGGATGGGCAGCCACACAACAGCACAGCCATCCTTAAGACTGGCAGTGATGACACAGGGGCAGTGTGCAGGATGACCCCCAGCTTCACAGTCTAGCATCTGACATGTACATGAAGAGCAAAGTTCTTTGTGGCTCTAGCTCCAAATTCTTTCGCTCCTTGACCTTCCCATGGATCAGAGCAGCAGGACTCCTGGCTACTGGAGTGAGCATCGGACCCCAATGCAGGGGCATTCTGCAGGAGCAACCCACAGGGGCTGGGGTGGGGTAGATGCAGACTGTTTTGGAACATTGTAGCACTCTGCCTTCCTCCATTATGAGTGCAGATCCCTCAGGAAACCACTGCTATCTCCAAAACCAAGTGGTCAAGGGATCTGCACCACAGCTTTCAATTTCAATGAACTGTAGAGAACTTCACCAGCAGGAAAATGGACATTTATGAAGCCTCAGTACAGGAACACAAAGCCTGGGTGACAGAAAAGGAAACTTCTGGTCCTGAGAGGAGTGCATGAGAAGCCAGGGACCCCACAGCTCCCATCCCAGACATGACGCTAGAAGTGTGCAGAACCCCAAAGACGAAGACCCATTTCCAGACTTCAAACACAAACCACTACTCTGGTCCCAAACAGCACACCAAATCCCACATAGCCTCATGCCTAGACCAGAGTGAGTAGGCCTCCCCTCCTAGTTTCCCGAGGGAGAGGGAACAGAAGCAGAGTCACTGCACTTGGCATCCTAGTCCTGAGTACACCTGCACAAAGGACACAGAGAATTACAATGTATTTACAAAGCATTAAAAAGTCAGTTGATCATCTACATATTAACCCCATTCTTCCACTTGTAAAAGCACTAGTTTGGAAAAAATAAATAAAGACCTTCAAAAAGAAAAAGAAAAAATGTTTACCAAGTTTTACTCTTTGTCAGCTAGTCTAGTCACTGCAACTTTTCTGGAGGTGCAAGAGGTGGGCAACTCACTGGATGGCAGGAGCCTGGAGTGCTGCAGCTCCTGAGCTGGCAGGATGTGGCAGGGAGGAAGAGTCAGCTTCTGGCTTTTGGGAAAAAGAGATCCAGCAGGGGTGGGCAGATGGTGGGAGCCTACAGTCTCACACATTGGGCATGGGAGGATAATCAGCAATGGGGGTCTTCAGACCTGCTGGCTGAAGAGATTTTGTACATGGAGGACCCGCTGGCTGGGAGATGGGTAGCAAACATTCTGAGGTGGGGATGCACGAGTCCAGATTGCACTTAGTAGCTGAGTGTGGAGCTTTCCCACTCCAGCTGCTGATGCTGGTTGAAATTCTGGCTCTCCCCAGGGCCACCCTCCTTCTCCTCACAACTCTCCCACTGGTCGATAGTGATGTCTTCCTCCTCCTCCTCTCCAGCCTCACACTGCTCTTCCTCTTCCTCCTCCTCCTCCTCCTTACCACTGTGCTGGTCCTGGTAGATCTGCAAAGAGATGGAGGAGAGAGTCCAGGTCATGGCCAAGTCACCCTGTGTCCACCATCCAGGAGCAGCAGGAGAAGGGAGATGTCTACCTATGAGGGAGACTGTCCAGGGACAGTGGCCTAGGCCTCGCTGGAAGTGGCCTCTTCATGGAGTCCAAGCATGCAGAGAGCTCCTGGATGGGGATGCTCAGTTCCCTCCTTGGAGCACTGTCACTGCATAGAGTGGGAGGAGCACCAGCCTGAAGCCAGCTCATCTCTGCACTTACACTCACTAGGTTGTATGAACTTCAGTAAGGCCTCACTGAGCCTCAGATTACCCCCTTGGATTTGGGGATCCTAGCTCACCAAGTTGTGTGGTTATAAGGTGCAGGCACATGGACATGGAGGAGCCTGGCCTACAGTACTCTGCAGCCTGGGGCCTTGTCTGCTCCTACCTCCTTTTGGAGTTCATGGTGATGATCAAGGCAGAGTCATTGCCATCCACCTCATTCTCCATCCCCATGTCCTGGTCCCATGAGGTTCACTGATGTGCAGCCCAGATATGAAACACCCCCAGGATGATCATAAACACCAGGAAGTAGATGCAAACAACAATCACCATGGTGGCAGGATTCAGGATGACTGTCAAGGGAGAAAAAAGTACAAACAGGGCTGCAGAGAGGTCACCCAGATTGAGGCATCCCACCTGTCATTGGCTATCCTTGGTTGGCACACTCCACCTGAACCTCAGAGACTAGAAAGCGCCAGGAAGAGCTTTGCGTGGTCACAAATTGCTCCGTCACTGTGGCTGTGGGCAGGCAATCATTTCCTTGTGTGTGATGGGGAGTGGGAACGGTGCTTCCGTGCTCCCAGCCAGGTGCGGCAGGGATATCTGCCTAAGCTCTGTGTGATGCTTAGTGTTTGCACCTAGGTGCCTCCCAAGTCCTTCCTGTAAATGATTGAGGACTGAGCAGCTTGTGGCCTGACAGGTAAACAAAAAAGCATTGCTTAGGGTGAAGAAACTGTGCTTGGGCAGCCATGTGGCTGGCATGTTCCACAGGATTGGCAGCATGGATCATGTTCACCTGCAGTGGACAGGATGAAAGGATCACTAGGGATAAGCATCCTGACTGTTTCCAAGAGGAGAAATGGGCAGCAGCAGCTGTGAACAATGCTAGTCTGAGTAGCCCCTGGACCCTGCTGTAAGAAAATGGTGCATGTGTCAGTGACCAGAGAAAAACAAACAAACAAAAACAAAACAAAAAAACACTTGTAAGAAGTTAGAAACCATTGTAAATCTGATGTTGTTCCATGTCCAAGAAACAGCACTTTTCTATATTTTTATTTTTTATATTTTTAAAGAGAGAGAGAGAGAGAGAGAGAGAGAGAGAGAGAGAGAGAGAATTTTTTTAATATTTACTTTTTAGTTCTCAGCGGACACAACATCATTGTTTGTATGTAGTGCTGAGGATCGAACCCGGGCCGCACGCATGCCAGGCGAGCACGCTACCACTTGAGCCACATCCCCAGTTCAGCACTTTTCTAATAACAACAAACAAACAAACAAAAACAAAACAAATAAAACCACTTGTAAGC